TGTTTATTCAAATTCTGAGCTGTCATTGGTCGCTGGGGGTGTTGCTATTCCCACCACTGACGCTGCTATGCTGCCATTGGTCGACGACACGTTCCGACGTCACGAGAACGTCCACCATTGGTCAGCAAGACATGGGGGGACGTTCCTACGCCACCATTGGCCGAGGGGCGTGGTCTAGAGACACGAGGTACGTTCCTACGTCACCATTGGTCGAGGGGCGTGGCCTCGAGACCCTAGGCACGTTCCTACGTCACGAGGGGGGCGTGGCCTTGGCCCATGAGGATACGTACGCTTGACGATCGACGTGTGACGTCACTTCCGCTCCAGAAGGAACACTATCTACCTACTCCTCTTGGACGAGTGACAGAAATGCATCCAGGTCCAGATGGAGTTACTAGAGTTGTAACTGTTAAAGTGCGTGGTAGTGAAACAAAAAGAGCACTCAATCGTATATGTGTTTTGCCAATAGACTGTTAATTTTAGTTGTTCAATTCATAATGTTTTGTATGTTAATTTCAATTTAAGTAATGAGAATTGACAATTTTTAACTGTATTGTTAACCATTTCTTTTAATTCATTAATCATTGTTTTTATTTTGTTAGTTCTGTAGGTTTTGAAAGAAACTGCGTCCTTTCAAGGGGGCCGACATGTTTAGACATAAATTTTATTTTGTTAAGCTTAGGTACTTGTGTAGTAAAAGACAAGGCAAGCCTGTCATGATTGATGTAACGGCTGTCAAATGATAATTTCTCTCTCTTGTCATGCAGCAATAAATAGGTAAACACGTCTCCCTAATTAATTAAAGTTTTTTATATTTGTAATAATAAATGGTACAAGCAGGAATATGGTAAATCATCAATGATTAGCCAGAAGTTCATACAGGGAGTATAGATGTTTTTAAGATGTTCTGCTGGACACGTTTACTAAGAATTCCTTGGACAGGCTGCAGACCAAATGGGTCAATATCAGAACTGAGCTCAAGGAGAATTAAGCACATCTATAACCAAGCAAATAATAGCCTATTTTTGACAACTATTTCGAAGAAATAGGTAGAGGATGATCCCTTATAAGGTACACTGACCATATCTCAACGATAGGCGTTCAACTATCAAAATGTGCAAGATTGATTGAAAATCGAGACAAGTGAAAAAAATTAGTAAACACAACTTGTGATAAGTAACTTCAAGTGAGTCTGAGTAACAATGTTTGATGCATTCTCTGTGATTATCCGATATCTACAAGTTTCGATATCTTTTCACTCTTTACAAACATTCCTAAAGAGGAAACTTTAAATATTCTGAAAACTAAATTCAGCATCCAGCAAGCTCACTTATCTCTCATTAAACATTGTATATCCAACACCTATTTCATCTTCCAAAACCAATTCTATCTCCAGTAATAGCTAATATCTTTATGGAAGACTTCGAGACCCGAGTACTATCCACATCAACGCTTAAACTGACATGTTGGATACGATATTTTAACGATTAACAATACATTCGTCATTTGGCCCCATGACAGGGATGCCTTGTCCGCGGATGTTACCGTAAAAATCAAATGAGGAACATCTACAGATATCAATCTCCCACTCAATCTCAACCCAAAGACTCAGACCATCAACATACGAAAGCTTTTGTTCCTTATATCAAAGGTGTCACTGACAAAATCGACAAAATTCTTAAATCAAAAGGAATAAAGAAAATATTTACCCACGCAATAAAACTTTTATGTCTTGTCCGTTCAATCAAAGACAACATTCCAAATGAGCAACACGGAGTTTATGAAATCTATACAGGCCAAAGGGAATCCAAAATAGGATTTATGAACATTTTATTTCTGTTCGTAATTCCGATTTAATTTCAGCTCTAGGTCAACACCATCTTCTTACTGGTCACAAAATTGATTTTGAAAACTCCAGAACCATAGCTCACATCAGCTTCTATAAACCAAGAAGTATCCAAGAAGAATTTTCTTAATAAAAGAGATGACGGCGTATGGTTACATTCGACATGAAGTTCTCTTATAAAGAAAATATCTTCAGCTCCACTTGTCAATCAAAATCTTACTGATGTCGATGACCATCGATGGTATAAATTAATCGTCCTCTGTTCCCAGTGGCAGTAATGCAGTGGTTAGTGAACAGTGTAGTCGTGTGTGGGGCTCGGGGAACTAAAACCTCGGAAGCCCCGAAGAAGACATCAAAGAGGATGTCGAAAGCTTGGCGCAATGATAATCGACGGGGTTCAAACCCGGAAAACTGTTGATATTGATAATATTAATTCTTGTAATAGTAATAATTATGCTCTAGGGTTAAATATATATATATATATATATATATATATATATATATATATATATATATATATATATATATATCAAACAACTTATATATTTAAACTTTTTAACTCGTTCATACGTATTTGTGTTTATACTTAAATCTAGCATATTAGTATAAACATTTTCCACCATAAACTTTCCGAACCCGTCTCTGTTTTAATCTGGAATTAATCTCGGACTACGTAATATCGAAGGATTGTAACATCACATCAATTGCAAAGTTTCGTCGGCAAATGGAGGATGCTCAGTTTTATGGATCGATAAATATGTTTGTAGTTTGCCGATTTCGATTTCTTGGGCCAGTCCTTCCCGAGTGAAATTAGAAATTTCAAAGCGTTTAGGTACCTACCCTGCTTGTAGATTGCACGATTCCCGTGAGATTTCTCGTATAAGAAACTTTCAATAGAGTTAATTTAGAACTGTTGTCGAGGCTCTTATTATTTCTATTCAGTTGCATAACATAAAAGGTTAGAAACTATTTTTTCTACTACTTTAGTAGTAGTAGTTTTTTCTAATTATATTTTTTGTTAAAAATTGAGATTTCAGAAATTCACTAACAGTAAAACTATATATATATATACATATACATATATATATATATATATATATATATATATATATATATATATATATATAAATATATAGTATAATGGTAAGGTTGATTGGGTTAGCAGCTAAGTGTGCTCTTTTCAACGATATCGTTATATTTCGTTAAATTTCTTTAACATCTTCAGACGAATGCTACAATATGTTACAAAATGGCAAAGATTTCTTTGCATATTGTAGCATTCGTCTGAAGATGTTAAAGAAATTTAACGAAATATAACGATATCATTGAAAAGAGCACACTTTGGCTTTCATTATTCAGCTGCTAACCCAATTAACCTTACCATTATACTAATTAATAATTGGACAGCTGTGATCATTCTTCGTTTATATATATATATATATATATATATATATATATATATATATATATAATATATATATATATATATATATATATATATATATATATATATATTAATGGATTCCGTGAATAAAATTGGGTACATTCGTGTGACTTTTTACTACATAGCTAATGAATAGAGTTAAAACTACAGTTAAAACAACAAAATATCAAACCAAAACCAAACTTGTTCTATATAAATAACATTTTTTATCTCTAAGTGATGCCAAAATGACGACCATGTCTTGTCAAAACCAAAGTTGCCAGTTTTGCTTTTTTTTTCAGTTTTTTTCACACAACACACCACTCGCTTTCTTCCACTTCATCCATCCAACCTTAATACTACTGCATGCATCTCCCATTACGTTATAATACCGATCCTAGGTACTCACAACTATTATTGTTTACAATCTGGTACTAGTCAAATTTGAACTCTCCACTTAACTCGCAATAAACCTGACGCCGTAACGTTAATTTAAACATAGCGACTTAGATGGACTGGATACATAATACTAATACAACTGTTACTAAAAAGCTAATTACAGGAACACACTATAGGAAGAAAAAATAGAGGCCGACCTAGAATTAGGTGGCTAGATGAAGTCGAGACCAATTTACGAATATTAAAAGTCAGAAGATGGCAAAAGGTAACTAAAACCCGAACAGAATGGCGACTAGCCTTAAAGAGACCAGGATGGATTAAGTATTGTCAAGCCAAAGATAATGATAATTATCATGACTTTTTATAATCATTTTACTATCCAAAGTTATCATTTTGAGATAGTGATACTATAAAGTGACACAAAGAAACAAACCACAGTGCACACAAAGATATTGACAAACAAAAAAATATTGCCATCAATTTCGTGTGCTACCGAGTGCACCGGAAAACTAAAGTGAAATGCATACTATGCGAAAGGAATCATTCAGTGAACTAAAAGGGATGATCAATATACAAAGAATTATAAAAGAAAAAATATAAGAAAAAATATTCGGTACTTCGTCTAAAGCTGAACTATATATACAACCCAGCATCACATATGCTCAGGTAAAGTCTAACAAGCTATGTATTGGAATTTCCTAGTACAAGTACGTAGCAACACCAAAACCAGACATCACACGAAACCAAAGGAGACATGTTCGAACTGAAACAATGATAAAAGGACTCATTGAATAAATGAGTACAATTTAAAGTACCTTTTGACTACAGTAATCGCTACACCATCCAAATGACCAAGTTTCTCAAAGTGGTACTCTAAAATGCCATCGAGCTAACCCAACATGCCCAAGAGGTCAAAGCCTTCATAATCAACAATTACATTGACATAATACTGATATCTGAAACAAACTTTACCTGCAGCAATTATTTCAAATGTCCTAATTATGTAATATACAGCACCAATCAACCAGACGGTACAGCACACAGCGGATCTACAGCCATTATCAAGAAATCAAGTAAGCATCAAGAGTATAGCAAACTCTTTGAAGACTATTTGCAAGCCATCAGAATATCCATTGAAAATTGGGAATAGCCATTTAAAATAACAGCTACTTATTACCCACCACGATATAATATAAACAAACATCAAATTACACAGTTCTTCACATCTCTTGGAAACAGATTCTTGACAGGAAGAGAATACAATGCTAAACATACACACTAGAGATCTACACTAATTTCTTCACAAAGAAGACAACTTATATGTACGAGTATATGCAAGACAACAATCTTAAAAACATATCTACGGGTGAACCTACCTACTGGCCTACCGACAGAAATAAAATATCAGATGTGGTAGATTTTGGTGTCGCCATGGGTTCCCCAAACAACCACTTGATAGATTTTGTTTTAATAGAAGTACGTTCCGAAATCCTTCACAGACCACCATCTGCTACAATACCTAACAAATTCACAAACTGAGAATAATTCAAAAAATTACTAACTCCAAAGATTTTTAGTGAGATATTAGAAGCAAATATCTCACTAAAAACAATCCTGGAAATTGACAATGTCATATAATACCTTAACCAATCCATACCATAAGCTGCATGAAAATCAACAATAATTACGGAAATTAAAAGTACCTACTGCTTATGAACTACCCAATAAAATCAAACAAAAAATTATTTTAAAATAAATACTAAGACGTAGATGGTAGCTGACAAGAGCACCACAAGACAAGACCAGTCTGAATAGAACTTCAGTACAGTTAAAAGCGTTATTAAACAACCACAAATACAATGGTATAAATTCTTATCTCAGACATTTTTCGCCTTAAGAAGTTACCGAGTATTCAATCTGAAAAGCAACCAGGCAAATAGAACGTCCTTAATTCTTCAACCCTCTAAACCGCAATGAAGATGGCGAATGGAAAAGAGCAATAAACAAAAATTTAAAAATGTTCGCTGAATATCTCAAAATGGTTTTCTAGTCTTTCCCTGCATAAACGTATGATGATATCCAAATTTATTTAGAATCTCGCTACCATCTTGAAACTCCTCTAAAAAAATTTACATTGAACAAAGTCAATAATATTATTCACACTAAATTATAGACCAAAAAGTCCCCAGGGTATGACATAGTTATCGTATGAATCTTAAAGGACTTACCAAGATAAGCCCTACTTTATTTTAAAAAACTGTATAATGCCGTATAAAGAACAAGACATTTTCGTCTAGTTTGGAAATTAGCCCAAATAATATTAAATCCAAAGCCCGGAAATCCTTGGAGAAAATTAAGTCCTACAAACATATTAGCCAGCTTCCTATTATGTCAAAAATATTGGAAAAGCTGCTGTCATCCAGAATAGAGCCTATTTTAATTGACAAACAAATAATACCTCATCACCAGTTTGGCTTTTAACCACAGCATTCTATCACTGAACAAATTCACTGGGTTTACCAGCAAATACTCCATTGACTGGAAAACAGAAAATATCTTCTTAGACATCTCCCGGGTATTTGACAAAGTGTGGCATAATGGCCTTCCATACAAAATCCAATAACAACTGCCAACAAGTACCTAATCCTAAGGTCCTACATGCAAGATCGTCATTACTTTGTAAAACATTTACCCAATTGGACTTTACCCAATTATGACTGAAGTCCCTCAAAGCAGTGTTATCAGACCAGTAATGTACCTGATATTCAGTGCAGGCTTACCTTCATCACCAAAAGTCACAACAGCAACTTCTGCAGATGACACAGCAGTAATATTCTCTTATATAGACTTAGCCGTAGCATCACAAAGAGTACAGGCTAACCTAAATGCAATACAAACTTGGCTAACAATGTGGCGTTAATGTGCCAATAAGACAAAATCTGCGCGGGTAACATTTACAAATTGTAAGAGAAACTGTCGTCCGGTATTATTAAACGGTCAACATTTGCCACTGAAAGACGACATAAAATACTTAAGAATGCATCTGTATCGCAGGCGCAAATAGAGAAAACTTATATTTACCAAGGTAAAAGAGCTGGGCCTTACGCTCAGTACACTAATTGGTTAATAGGCCTGAAGTCAAAAATTTTGACATTGTTGAGTTGTTTTAAAACTCATTTGGAGCGACGCAATTCAGCGGTGGTGAAGAGCAGCTATAAGTCTAGTGTTGACATTCTTGAAAGAGTCCAATTTAAAGTCCTCCGAATGATAACCAATGATCCATGGTACGTTTCAAACAAGACGATCGCACGAGACCTCAAGATGACAACTGTAAACTAAGTTACCAAACTCTGCTAACGATATGAACAGAGATTAACCGTCCACCATTTTAGCCCATAGACCCAATGCAACCAACCTGCAGTATTACCACACATCCACAGGGCATGATCCCAACTGCAACGACTGCCCTATCAGCCAATGTATTGTTATCCGTACACACCAATAAGAGGCACGTACATTTTATGGGATATACCAATGGAACGTCGAACCAAAATAAAAAAAAAGAAACAATTTACAAAGCTTTAACAAAATCGCTCTACTATCGTCGAAAATAAATATCCAGATTTACAATTCGAAGCTGATTAATTCTGGCTCAAAACCCCGTATTTTTTCTTACTGTAAATATTCTACTCCGACTGTTCTAAATCAATTATTCGGGCAAATACGCACCGACGGATTAAACGAAAAGTAAAACCAACAAAGACTAAAATTTACGGTGGAATTCACAATGTTAATTTAGCAGAGACGCCTACTCACACACGTAAAGTGTATATCTACGAAAAAATTTACATAAGAGATGGAAAGCGAAAGAGAAGCAATCAAAACGGTGAGTGGAGATCTTGTTGATAAAAGTGTTTAAATAAAAGGATTTAACAGCGTTTTTCACATTTATTGTTATAAAAATAGTCAAGACTATTCTCTTTTTACATAAGCCTTTTTCCACTCGACTTATTTTATATAGGGTTGGAACTCAAAAAGAATAAATGAAGCGTGCCATATGTAAAAGGTGGTATGTGCAATTTTAAAAATTTTACAGGAGCTGCATAATTTGTTTTATTTTAGCTTACTAAGAAATACAAAATATTTGTAGCTATTTCTGATATCATTTTCGATATAGGCAAGTAACAAAACACATACTTTAACAGAAACATTTGTAATAAATTTGTTATTTGCCATTAATTATCAAAACGTAGTATGTGCCTCCGTTCCTCTCGGAGGAACCTGTAACCTCTAGAGAGCGCGTCCCCAAGTGGCGGATAGGGGAATGCCCGACCCTGTTTACCGGTGGGTAGGAGGGAAATAAAATACCTCCCGTGGACCAACAGGTAATTCACCGAATGATTGCCGGTATAAGCAATCCCCCACTTATGACCAACGGTTGCGGGCGGATGAGTTAATAAGTGGAAGGCACTCTATTGTCCAAGGGTTGGGAAACTGGTCCTAAAGGCGGATGAATCGAAAAATATGTCAACAGCGTAAGGATGCAGAAGGCAACGGGGAACCACTGCATTAAAGACTCTTAGAGTACCCCTAGTAAAGTCATGAATGGCAAATGACAAGTAGAGTAAACAAACTTACTGATTATGGAGCACGGAATCCAAGATCCGGCAGAGGAGGAATAACTGTAGATCACAGGGCCTCCCAGGTCGTAAACCAGAGAAATCCCTGTGGACTTAAGACATTGAAAGTAGCAACCTGGAATGTTAGAAGTTTATATGCAAGTGGTAAATTAGCGAACGTACTGCTTGAAATGGAAAACCTCCAAATTAATGTTTTAGGTATAAGTGACAGTGGCCAGGTTCAGGCAAACAAATTACAAATAATGGAACCATGAATTATTCAGGTAACAACAAGGTCAATCATCGCTATGGTGTTGCTATCTTAGTTGCAAAAAAGGTCAATTACTCTCTGGTAAGTTTTACTCCTTATTCTGATAGGATCTTATCAATACAACTACAGTCTAAAAAATGTATAGTAAATTTTATTCAAGTTTATGCTCCTACGGCAGATAAAGATGACGACGATATCGAACTGTTTTACCATGATTTGGAACAAATCTTAAAATCAATGAAGAAACATCACACTACAATATTAATGGGTGACTTCAATGCCAAAGTTGATCAGAGAAGAGTGGATGGATATGTGGAGGAATATGGTCAGGAAATAGAAATGAACGTGGTGACCGTTTGATACAATTTTGCCAGACGGAAGAATTTGTAATAGCTAATACACTTTTTAAGCTCCCAAAAAGAAGATTGTATACATGGAAATCTCCCGGTGATACAACGAATAGAATAATCCGAAATCAAATTGACTTTGTCCTTATTAGACAAAGATTTCGTAATTCTATACTGTCTGCCAAAACTTACCCTGGAGCAGACATCGGTTCAGACCATAACCCCATAGTAGTCACATTACGAACCAAATTAAAACTGGTTAAAAAACCCACACAAAGTATAATTTATATTAAGAGATTAAGAGAATCATAAACAAAGGAAAAAACTGTAAAAACTCTTACTGAAAATCTACGATCTTTAGAATAGCTCGAGACAGAGACAGTTTGGCCATGTTAATCGCCAACGTCAAGGGGACTTGATAGGGCACAAGAAGAAGAAGAAGAAAATCTACGTAATGCCCAAGAACTGAATAAAAGTAGCTATAACATTGATCAGAAATGGGAAAATATAAAAGTAGCAATAATTAAAACAGCAAATGAAAACTTAAAACCAAACAATAGAAAACATAAAGATTGGATGACTGAAGAAATACTGCTCTTAATGAATGAAAGAAAATCACTCAAAACAAAAAATCCAATTAAATACAATGAAACTGATCGATTAGTAAAAAAGAGAATAAAAGAAGCTAACGAGAGAATGTTACATGAGCAGTGCCAAGAACTAGAAGAAATTGGGAAAAAATATGACTTTTAACATGCATAAAAGAATTAGAGAATTAACAGGAATGAGAAAAATACTTCAAACTAGGCAACTAAGAGATGAAAGGGGTGCACTTATAACAGATATGAACCAAAAAATGCACACAATATATAGCACAACTTTTTGAAGACAAAGAGAGAACAGAAGCACCAAAAGAATTTAAGGATGATACTGGGCCTGACATTATACGAGAAGAAATTGAATATGCAATGAAACAAGCTAAAGGTGGTAAATCTCCCGGGCCTGATAAAGTTCCTATCGAATTACTTAAAATTGTGAATACTGAATCTATTTATCTTCTTTTGGATCTATTCAATACCATATATAGAACAGGTATAATACCTAAAGAATGGCTCAAATCAACATTCATACTGCTTCCCAAAAAAGCCAATGCAAAGGAGTGCAATTAACATCGCACCATAGCCTTAATGAGTCATGTATTGAAATTGTTTTTAAAAGTAATTCACAATAGAATACCTACATAAGAAATTAGATGAAGGCATAAGTAATACACAAATGGGATTTAGGAAAGGACTAGGAACA